AACAACCATCCGCTATCAATAAAGCGCACAATTAATCAAGCATCTCCGTGAAGAGTATTAGCCATGTGTTATTGACTAAATTATCTCCCTCGTATTAACCAATCAAAATGTTGCATTTCAACATGAAGTATAATAAAACAAAAATCAACAATACAAATATGTAACATTGACAAAACATTAATCTAAGTTTGTTTGTTTTGTTTTGTTTATTGTTTTTGTTTTTTTTTCTGTTCTTACATGCTAGAAAACACGCCTTTCCTAAAATTAGTATAACAATTAATATATCTCGAACAGTAATACAAAAGGAAAAAACTCTGCTTACCTCTATTATATATTTATTGGTTTCATAACGGATATAATTGGATATCGCTTGATATCAGCTCGACTTATTTGATTTCAATATAAATGTAAACGAGATGGCGAGTTTATCATTACTTTTCAAATTAAATAACGAGAGTTGATATCAATCGATATCAAATCCTCACGAGTTGTTAAACCGATTTCTCTTGTGGTGATCATTTTTGTTCTGTTAAATAAAAAATTCGCGACTCGTTGATCTAGTCTATAGATAAAAGAAAAGCTTTTCCGGTGAAAAGTGTAAGTGTTTTGTTTATTATTGAAGGAATCACATATCTATGTTACCATAGGGACCAAAATATAGAATTCCCCAGCCCATCAAATGGAAAAAGAACTTCAGGTTACTGATGGATGCAGTTGAGGACTATGCTAGAAAATGGGTAAAGCGCAAACCATACGAACCAGAACTGGACACTTTGTATGAACGAATCAAAGCTATTCGATCATGCATTCAGAAGCGCATCCAGAAACTTCGATGTCCTATGAGCACAAGGGTTTCTAACCTATTCAATAACCCGGAGGTTGTGGATGCTTTATCCTCTTTGCATGACACATATGTCGTTGTTCCAGCAGATAAAGCCTCCAATAATATTGTCTTCGTATGTAAAAACCATTATTTGTAATGTCTCACAAAAGAGCTTGGAATAAATAGCACAACTGGTAACCTACATATTCTTTAACATCATTTACAAAAGGATGAAATTTTACAAAATCACACATCTGTCCTTCTTTCTTTTGGTATTAACATCAAAGAAAACGAAGAAAATCTACCGTCATTATACTGGATACCAAAACTTCACAAAACTCCGTATAAAGAACGATACATAGCTGGATTATCAAGATGTTCGACTAAACATCTTTCTAAAATGCTGACTACTATTCTTTCTACAGTAAAAGATTGCCTTCAAAAATATTGTGATGAGATATATTCAACCAGTGGTGTCAATCAGATGTGGATTCTCATAAGTTCTAAAGATCTACTGCTAAATCTTAGATCACAATTTGATATTTCTACGCTTTACACTACTATTCCCCATGCTCAATTGAAAGAGCGACTTCACCATCTCATTAAACAGAGCTTTTTCTATAAAAATGGGAACCGTAGATATAAATTTCTTGTTTTGGGTTATAATGATTCTTATTTTGTGAGGAACCACAATGGTTCTATCAGAAAATACACTGAAGATGATTTTATCAAAATGCTGGACTTTTAAATCGACAATATATTTGTTGAGTTTGGAGGATTGATATTTCAACAGACAGTCGGTATTCCAATGGGTACTAATTGTGTACCCCTTCTGGCCGATTTGTTTTTGTACTCGTATGAAGCAGAATTCATTCAGAACCTTCTAAAAGACGAAAAGAAAAAGCACCTTGCGAAATTCTTTATTTTTACTTTCAGATATATTGATGATGTCCTATCACTTAATGACCCATATTTCAGTCAGTACTTTCATCTCATATATCCCAGTGAGCTTGAAATTAAGGATACTACTGATACTAGAAGGACTGCTTCATACCTTGGTGTTTTCCTCAATATTGACACAGATGGACGACTTCACACTAAAATCTATGACAACTTCCCAATTATCAATTTCCCATTTCTCAGCAGTAACATACCCTCTGCTCCGTCGTATGATGTTTACATATCTCAACTGATACGTTATGCTCGTGCATATTCACACTATACGGACTTCATATACAGGAGTGTGCTCCTTGCGCAGAAACTGCTCCAACAGAGTTATGAGGAGGAAAGATTAAAAATGACACTCCGTAAATTTTATGGACACCATCACGAATTGGTTGATTCATACGATGTGTCTGTGTCTAAACTGACTAACGACATTTTTACCACGTCTTAGATTGTGGTTTACCATCTACGTCTGTCTGAACCGAACGTGACCTATTCCCGAATATGACTGTTTTGCCGAGTGTGAATTCGCATTGCTATACAACGTGTCTCGGTATTTATACATCCAACATTCATGTATTAGTATTTAGTTATGATGTTTCTTTTGTAAGTTCGGATGGATATTGTGTTATGTCTTATCGTCTGTGGTTTGAATTCTGTATTTTCGGTACATTTCACATATGTCTTATTTGTCAGTATAGTCGAGTTAATTTCCATTTTCCATGGATAAAGTATTGTGTTAGTCCAAATAATTATGACGTCGTCACAGCATTAATTTAAAATAGCCTTTCAAGACCGTCATAATCATGGTAATTATTTGGACTAGTATTGTGAAAACAATTGTGAATTTTTGGATCTCGTTCCATATAATTGTATGAATTTCAAGATATATACGTCACAAAAACATGTCACTGTTTGTGGTGTCCTGTGCTGTCGTTAATGGGAGATGTCCGTTGTTATTCTGCGGTTTACATGTTGTAACGACTATTATATTATTTATTTATGCATTTCTCTGTGCTGAGTGTTCTTGCGTTTGTTTGAACTGTATTCCTGTCACGTAGTGTTGTCATTTTAGCGGTATTTTTTAACATTGCCATATAAGCGGGAGGTTTGGCTAGCCATAAAACCAGGTTCAACCCACCATTTTTTCTTAAAATGTCCTGTACCAAGTCAGGAATATGGCAGTTGTTATCAAATAGTCCGTTTCTATGTATGTTGGCGTTTGTTTTTGTTGCAGTTCAGTGTTTCTGTTGTTCCGTTGTTTCCCTCTTATAGTTGATGTGTTTCCCTCGGTTTAAGTTTATAACCCGGATTTGTTTTCTCTTGATCGATTTATGACTTTTGAACAGCGGTATACTATTGTTACCTTTATTTACCATGGAGAAAATATACTTCTTTTTGACCTCATGGAATATTTACAGCCATATAATACACGGAATTTATAAAACATTTACAAAACTGTTGACTGTGACTAGTTACAATTGCAGAAATGTAAAAAATATTTTATTCAAGTTGAAAATTAATTATAAAATCGATTGAAAACCCATATTTTCTCAATATTGGGGTATAAATCCTAAATATATACGATGATTATGTATTGGAGTACTCACTTTCTCGACCTCATAGTTGCTATCATCTCTTATCGAGCACTATGCAGGTTATAAAACATGTTTTTTTGCTGGTGTGCGATGGTATATATGACGCGTGATGGTAAGTCCAAAATCTACAGTTGTGCAATCATTATGAGAACTTGACTGATTTCTTTATAAGAATGTCTAGAAAAAGGAAATTGTACTTCCTTTTATATTCATGGTAAATAATTGACTGATCTAGAGAGTTTAGAATCTCAAACAATCGCTTCCCTTTTCTCGTAATTTTAATGTTTATAAGCTCCTTTATAAAAATAAGGAGATGAGGTATGATTGCCCATGAGACACCTATCCACCAAAGTTCAAATAAAGTGGATGTAAGCAATTATAGGCAACCGTACGGCCTTTAACAATGAGAAAAACTCATACCGTATAGTCGGCTATTAAAAGCCCCTACATGAAAAATGTGAAACAATTCAATTGAGAAAACTAACGGCCTAATTTATATCAAAACAATTAACGAAAAACAAATTAACAGACATGAACCAACGACAACCACTGAACTACAGGCTCCTGAATTGGGACAGTCACATAAAAAAAATGTGGCGGGTTAAACGTGTTTGTGAGCGCTCAACCCTCCCCTATTCTGGGAAAGTGGTGTAACAGCACAACATAAGAGCACACTAAAAAATCAGTTGAAAAAGGCATAACTCATCAGATCGATACAAAGAAGAAAAACATCAAACATAAGCACAGACCGGACGTGACAGGGTACGTATTTATCCGTCCCTCGTCCCCAACAACAAAAAGGACACTTAGTACAGATCTGAGAGTACTCGCAGTTACTGACAACTAGTTCAAAGCCAATAACAACTAATAAAAAAAAATCATGTATTTAAGACTAAAATATCAATCAGTTCACATCCAACATTCAATGGATTTAGTGTAAAGACGTCATTAACAGTCAGTGAAAAACATGACCTTGTGCAATGCAAAAATAAAGGTATCGGCAGATTGTAGTAACGTTAAAGTGCATATGTGTTTAACCTAGTAAACTTGTTACCTTGTGGAATATGCATAAAACTTTTGAGACTGATGTGAGACTAAAATTTGTACATCAAACATCCATCAATCTATTGATCTTTATTTTCGCAAATGATAGAATTGTATTTCCGATGTGATGTTGTCTTGGGACGTAGACATAGTGTTTGAGATGCGATCCGTGATCGATTATAAAAGAGCGGTTGTAAAAGGAAAGATTTTGTGTCCCTACCAAAATATTCATATCTCCGCCAGTTGCAGTAAAAACCATCTTTCTTATAAAATTAATCGCTCTGCTTCTCAGGAGCATCGATGATTTACTAAAAACAAACAAAAAAAAAGCTGCTTCGAACAAATAATTTGACTCTACTTCGAAAATGAAACACATTGAAAATATAGTTTATCTCACCCATCGCACTTCAGCGTTACCAACAACACACTTCATCGTAACTATCAACAAGATAGCGTCACAATGCCACAATCGTACTTTAACGAGATCAAAAACGTATTGTTCAGCGTCAAACCATCGCATTCCAGCGTTTTCATCGCGGTTCGGAGCAACATTGCGGTCAAGAGTCTGACACATATATAACTGGAACGAGCAAGTTTCAAGCCTTTATTATGATTAAAATATATGTTGGTAATCAACAAAACATCAAGCATTCATGCTAAGATGATAAAATTCAATCTGTTTTCATAAATAGGCTTTGAATATGATATTTTATAAACATGAAATGCATTATAACTTTTAATTTGAAACGACTGATATTAAACGGCTAAGCCTAAAGATATGTTGGTAAAAGATAAATCTAATTAGGCAATACAAGATCATACAAAATGGATCCATAAACCAGCTTCATTGCTCTTTTCCTTTTTTTTTTTTTTACTCTTTCTCCAAAACAAATTATAATTGGCTATAAGGAGCCTGTGGATGAACCAGTTTTGGCTGCAACACTGTTTCACTAGGTTTGTCTCTGCATCCTATAAGACAGAAATATACTAATAAAATAAAATTCTTGACATGTGGAAGTAAAATAATCTCAATGCATTGTTTTTTAAAAAACGCTTATGTTTGGTTTTTGCCTTTGATTGTATCTGTATTTTGCATACTACTTTCCAAGAACTGAAAAATCTAACAAATAGGTGTGTCTGAAATAGGTTCTAAGCAAGATTCGATTCACACTGGCTATAAGTCTTCGACGAATGTTGCACACTAAATCAACTAGTGAATGTAAATTGCTTTTTGCACCCTAACATTAGAAATAGCATAATAGACGCCCGTTTATCACTATTTTGGCTAACCGAACAAGTTCATTGTACCATGTGTTGATAGGTTTTATCAAACTAAGAAGATTGCCAATGAGACAACTCTCCACCAGAGACCAAATGACATAGAAGTTAACAACTATAGATCCCCGTACGGCCTTAAAAATATATACATATGTAGGACTATGAGGTGCAATGGGGACACTGAAGTCCGATGGTCACGACGAAGTGCGATAGTCTGCGCCGGAGTGTGCTGTGATGGTCCTTTTGCTGATGTGCGATGGTATATATAAAGCGTGATAGTAAGTTCAAAATCTACAGTTGTGCAATCGTTATGAGAAGTTGATTTTTATATTAGAAATAATTTGCATCAATTATTGTCTATAGTATAGTTATGGTATTTCAGTATCGATGTTATGTATTTGTAAGAATAAAATAGGAGAATTGATAAAAGAATTGTCATCCTGCAATAAGTATGTTCACCATACAATTTAGAATTATGTGTTGATCTTATACTGTTTGAATAGTATCTGTAAGTACCCTGCGAAAAGTATAGTTTGATCTATACCTTTAATGTACGGTGAAATTAGTACAATTGTTAAATGATATGAGCGAATCAGCCCTAATACGGATAAATAAGCATATGCAATACTGATTACGTCGACCTGTTGTAATACATTTGTTTGGCCCGGTCCAGTACTGAAAAAAGCCGTATAAGCCTATGGGCTAATACGGAGTATTCACAAAAAACCGCTTCAGAAGGTTAAATTTCCTCGTTCCACCAATCGATCCCCTTTTCCCGTAGAATTAAAAGTTATAAGCCCTTAGTTAACGTTTTTCTCATGTGGAATAGGCAAAATTTGTTTAATACTGAAATTTGAGAGTTGTGTTTCAATGTCGTTTTGTGTTGTGACATGGACGAAGCGTTTGATATGGGGATTCGTGATGAAACCATAGAAAAGTGGCAGTAAAAGAAAAAATTTCGTGTCCTACCAAACGTTTCATATTTTTTCAGGTTGCAGTAAAACCATCTATCGTACTCTTTGCTCTCGTTCACAGGAGATCAATGGTTTACTTAAAACCCCAAAAAAGCTGATTCTAACAAACAAATGGACTTCGATATTGAAATGTGAACATGAGAAGCATTGAAAATATAGTTTATGTAACCCATCGTTCTTCAGCGTTACAACCAACGCACTTCGCCGTAAGTTTCATCAAGATAGCGTCACAATGCCAACATCTACTTCAGCGTAATCTAAAACACACTTCTGCGTCAAACCATCGCATTTCAGCGTGACCATCATGGTTCGTAGTACCATCGTGGTTCCGAGTCCTACACATATATGACTGGAACTAGCAAGTTACAAGCCCTTATTATGATAACAATATTTGTTGCTTATATGATAGAAGTCAATCTGTTTTCATAGATAGGCTTCGAAAATGATATTTTATTAAAATTAAAAACCAATTGTTCAGAGAACAATTGAAGGTCTTTCCACTTCTTACGATTCATTTTGATATGAAAATATTAAAATACGGTTTAAAGTGTTATATACAGTGTCAAATGATACCTTAATGTACGCTGATTCCAAAAATATATGGTTTCTAAACAATTTTATTGAAATAAGGGAGATAATTTGTTACTTCCGGTCTGAAAAAAGTCACTTCCGGTATTATTTGATAGTTTACTTGACACTGACTCCAAAAAGATATGGTTCTTTATACTTTAACATCAAATAAGTACAATACAAAGCTACTTACGGTTTACACAAAGTCATTTCCGGTTGAATTTTCAAGCTCATGTAAATTGCAACCTAATGAAAAGGGTCCCATGGCTTTACCGTGTCTAAATATGAAGTTTAAGCAAAGGTCAAAATCTAGAACGTCAATTTCAACTTTGACCTTGGGCTCAATTTCAAGGTCATAAACCTTACCCTAGGTCTTTATTATACTTGGGAAATGAGTTAAACCACCATACATGTAATTTTAAATATAATTTTCATTTTTTTGGACCAATCACCTCAAATCAAGAGACCCTAGGTCTTTATCACTTATGGTTTACCAGTTAGAAATGCATATTACTTATATCAAATGCATAAGGGGGAATAACTCTCATATGGAGTCTCCGGATAGCTTCGATCTAAAGTGTCATCCTAATCCGGAAGATGTAACGAGCAATTTGGTAAAATAAATTTGTCATAAACTTTTACGGTTGCGAAGGAGTAGTAGCCACAAGAAAAACAGTGTTTGGGGAGATAAATCTTACAACGTAAAGTGTTCGGTTAAGCAGTGTTAGTTTCAAAAGCGTATGAACTGTACGATATCATATTCCAATTATATAAGCGACATCTTATAAAACAAGAACACAACGATAGAAAAAAAAAATAATCAGAACAAAATCAATAGGTCTTTCCACGGAAGAGTGGCGGTTTCTTGGACAATTCTATACTTTGGAAAGACATACTTAACTTTTTTTATTCAAAAGATAAACGCTAGCGGATTTTTGTAAAAGCATCTGGAGTATTTTCTCTACATAAGTGTGCTTTGAATTTGTGTAACTATTCTTTGGAAATTATTCATTTTTATCACATGTTCATGATTTTAGTCAAAGAACGACATTTTGTGCTGTATATTTATCTTATTTAGAATAATCATCGGTGATTTGTTCATAAAAATTGGCACAAATATTGTTCATACATAATCAAGGCAAATGTCATTTTTAAAAAGAGGGGTCCATGAACTCGTTTTCAAGTTAATTCAGACGTCTGAATGATAAAAATCAGTCGAAAATGCATCTTTTTCCGTTATGTCACAGTTTGACGTCGTGAAAAATAACAGTTCACGTTACCAACGTCATTACCTCCCCTGTAACTGTATCGTATGTCCCTAATCAAAGAGTATGAGTGAGATTAATTTTTTGTAATTATTTTTTAAAGTAATGCAGAAATAAAAGATAAGAAGAAAAGGAAATTATAAAGGAAAAAAAACAAGGAGGTGTATAATGGCGTTATGCCATGAAGAAAAAGTTTGATTGAAATCCATTCCCTGGTTTAGGGCGAGATACTGGTGGGGGATATTCACTCTCTATAATATGAAGGACAAAGTCCATGTACTTGAACGGAAAACCCCAGAGATAATTCCAATTAAAAAGTAAAATAGGAGATGTACAATGTTATCATGTCATGAAGAATCCGTAAAAGTTTATTTGAAATCCCTTCACTGATTTAGGACAAGGTACGGATGGGAGATGTTCACCCTCTATAGTATGAAAGGGCAAAGTCCATTGTTTTTAAAGGGAAACCCTAGAAATAATGTTGATCAGAAAGTAAAAGATGTGGTACAAAATGGCATTATGTCATAAAGAATGCGTGAAAGTGTGATTGAAAGCCATTCACTGGTTTCGGAGGAGTTGCTGATGGTGGATCTTTATCTCCTATAATGTGAAAGGGCAAAGTCTATATTTCGATATGGGAAAACCCAGGAATCACTCTAGGGGAGTGACATTAACCTTAAATTTCATTTTTAATGCACCCACCTAACACACGGCTACATTATATATTTCTGGAAAGCTTATTTTCTGTATTTTCTGTGTTGCCTGGACGTAAAGAAATCATACAGTGCAATTTCTGTACAATCAAGACCAAAATATTAAATGTATCAAAATAATCATTAATCACAGAGATTACCAATTACTTCTTTGAAATATTTATGACATGTTTTTAATAAACAGCAACTTTTCCAGAAGTTGCAATCAAAATGATAGAAATAAGTGAAAACAAAAATATTTGTTTTTGATTCTAATTTTCATCACATAAAACCAAACAAAATCCTTTATTCAGTACTAAGGAAGTTTTTGACATCATCAAATTACTTTAAGCACGCTTAATAGCCAATCGTCTTCAATGTCCCAAAATACCGCCATCTGCAAAAAGATAGTTTTAATAGTTCTACACTAAAACATTGTTTAGAGTCAATTTCAGGTTGCAGAAACACTATTCTTAAAAATGGGAAAACATTTAAAGGAAATAATACAAGCGAGTATCATAATTTTGATGGGAATTTAAGTGAAAAAATCTTCTATATGTAACTGCCAACCTGAAAGATAAACTCTTTCGAATTTGATAATTATTTGATTTGTGATTTCATAATAAACAGTTATTTAGTTATAGGACTTTTTATCTATATCAAGTCAGCCCAAATAAATAAGAAAGAAAAAATAAACACTGTTAAAAGACAAATTCGTTTATGAAAAAGCAATTTCTAATAATTCTCATACACAATTTAGAAAACCTGTCCTCTTGGTTGATTCCAGTGCAACGTGCATTGTTCTTGGTATGAATTCATAACTTTATAGACCACAGAAAAAGTATTTATAATATCACATCTTCTTATTTTTATATTTTAATAATCTCTTTACACCTCTAAAGTAAGAATATAAAAAGACGTCATTTTCAAGTACATGTTTCAGTTATATCAATTGACTTCCATTCTATATCTTGCACATATGGAGCCTGCTTACCCTTCCGGAATACCTAAGATCACCCCCAGTTTTTGGTTGGGTTTGTGTTGCTCAGTCTTTCAGTCAGTTATCAAATAGTCCGTTTCTATGTATGTTGGTGTTTGTTTTTGTTGCAGTTCAGTGTTTATGTTGTTCCGTTGTTTTCCTCTTACAGTTGATGTGTTTCCCTCGGTTTTAGTTTGTAACCCATATTTGT